AATTACATAGCAAACTAGTAGCAGGACCAGATTAATTCATTTATTTATCTGTTCATTCATTTATTCCACAATTATTTATTGACAGCATTCTACCCAACAGCTATTCCTTGGAAGGAAGATTGGACAATCTACTTCTGTAGTGATATCACTTCAGAAACCCAAGGAGGGGTCGCTATGAGTTGCATTTGATTTGACTGCAGTGAGTTTGGTTTGGTTATTTTATACTCCAGACTCTGTGCTTACTAATAAAACCAAAAACTCCAAACTCACTGCTGTCAAGTTGGTCCCGACTCATAGAGACCCCTCCTTGGGGTTTCCTTGGGTTTTTGAGGCAGTATCTCTATGGAAGTAGATTGCCCAGTCTTCCTTCTGAGGAGTGGCTAGCAGGTTTGAACCGCCAGCCTTCTGGTTAGCAGTCAAATACCTTAGGCATTATACCACCAGAGCTCCTTGTAGTGATATAAAAAAAACAAAAAGCCGAACTCACTGCCATCCAGTTGATTCTGACTCATAGTGACCTTCATTGGGTTTCCAAGGCGGTAAATCTTTATAGAAGTAGATTGCCCCATCTTCCTTCTTCAGAGTGGCTGGTGGGTTTGAACAACCAGCCTTCTAGTTAGCAGTCAAATGCCTCAGGCACTGAGCTACCAAACCCCAAAAAACCAAACCCACTGCCATCGAGTTGATTCCTACTCATAGTGATCTCCCTGGATTTCCAAAGCAATAAATCATTACAGAAGTAGATTGCCCCACCTTCCTTCCAGGGAGTGGCTGGTGGATTTGAACCACCAGCCTTCTGGTTAGCAGCCAAATGCCTTAGGCATTGTGCCACCAGAACTCCTTAATAGCAGTATAATGATGAATAAAACAAAGCTGGTGGTTGCTCTCATAGAATTAGTGGGGCACAATGGTGGGGGACATTGTCAAAGAGTAAACCAATAATTACATACAAGCACCTAAACACCTGAGAAACAGCAGCCTCGACACTGGAGAAGTACATAATCCCACGAAAGCACCTAAGGAGGAAGGATTGGCCTGGTCTGGGAGGGCTTCCTTGAAAAGGTGGTAATTGAGCTGAGATTCAAAGAAGGGAAGGGGGAATATTCTGGGGAAGGGAATGTGCAAAGACCCTGGGTAGGAATGAACAGGGTCCACTCAGGAAACTGAGAGATGTCCAATGTAGCTGGAGCAGAGAGGGCGGTAGGAGTGTGTTGCTGGGTAGCTGGAGAGGCTGGCCAAAACCTGACCATGCTGGACCTGGAACCCTTATGACCTGAGAGCAATGGGAAACCATTGGAGGGTCCAAAACAAAGCTTCAACCCTTTGAACGTTGTGATTGGAGGAGTGTGGTAGTTAAATTTGTATGTCAACTTGGCTGGGCCTGGTTGAGTGGCTGAGCAGCTGGTGGTAGTTATTCCCCATGATGAGACTGGCAATCAACTCCATGGTGGGATCTACCACAAGCAGCTGAGTAGCTGCCTTTGGGATGTGGTCTGCTTCCTGTATATAAGGAGAAGCCTTGGGGATAATCTCTAGCTTATGGCACACTTGGACCCTGCATGTAGCCGTATCATTGTTCACAGCCTGCCATGCTCTGCCGACTTTGGGACTTACAATGGATTTAAATTAATGGCCTGCCATGTGGTTTGGTAACATCAAGACTGTGCCTTTTTACTTGACAACCTTGGGTTTGTCAGTTCAGCAGCCAGCAGCTGAGTGAAGAAAAGCTTCCTTCCAGCTTCAGTGGGCCAGGAGCAGGAGGCAGAGCTGAACCCCAAGGTTAAGTGGCTTTCACCCAGCCCCTAGAACTGACACTGTAAACTTGGACTTAAAGCCTCCAAATTGTAAGAGTAAACTCTTGTTTGTTAAGGCCATCCCATCTGTGGTATATTCTTGTCAGACTGGCACTAGGTAACCAGAACAAGGAGGCAAGATTAGAGGTACAAGAGCAGTTAGAAGAACAGTGCTGTAGCCTGAGTGAGTGGTGGAGCTGGTAGAGAGAAGGAGTCAAGATGCAAGAGACAGGAGAGGAAACGGACAAGACCTGGTGATGGGTTGGTTGAGCATGAGATTCCTGATGCCAGGATGTGGATGAGATCACCTGGAAAGAGAGTATAAAGAAAGAAGAGCAACCTAGGGTCAAAACCTGACACAGGCCAACATTTAACACCAGGTGGAAGAGACAAAGAGTTGTGGCCACAGAGGAAAAGAAGAAAGTTGCAAATCTTGGAAGCCAAGAGAAGACAGGGTTTCAAACAGAGTGGTCACAAGGGACTAATATTGCAGAGAAACTGGGCAAGATGAGATGCCCATCAGAGATAGGGCCAGGCACTAGTCACTAGTAACTTTAGAGAGAGCTATTTCTTTGGAGAAGCAGGGTCACACTGGAAGCCAAATGAATAGCTCAGACAGAGAGAGGTCACAGGATGAGCAATTATTTCCCATTGCCCAGTGGGCCTGTTGGTCTGAGATAGTCGGTGGCAAGAAGACACAAACTATCATTAGAATGACTCAAGGCTGATGCCTGTATAAGGGGTGAAGTGGCCTTGCTCTTCAGCTCCGCACTAATGGCACCCACTCCCAACTAATGGGGCAGGCTCAGTGCTCAGCAAGCCTCCACCCACCCACACACCCGGCTGCTTAGGAAGTCTGCCCTCTGGTGGGCAAAAAAAAAAAAAGGTAGGAGGGCAAAGCCAGGCTGAGGCAGGGACCCAAGCCCCTCCCACCACCACCACTTCAGTCTGAGGTGAGACGAGATGGGATGGCAGGACCTCTTTCCAGAGAAAGAAACTAAGCCAAGATGCTTAAGCTCAGGGTTCCAGAATACAGGGACAACAAAACGATGAGGAAAAAATGTGTTGAAAGAATGAGACATTATACGTGTGTGTATACATATATAGTAAAATATATATATATGTAATAAATATACAGAGTTATATATATGTATAGCGGGCAATAGCTCATCATGGGGAAAATGAAAACTTTGGCGGAGTTCATGCTTATTTTATGCTTTGTTTCTGTATATTCTGAAATAGACTTCAGTGGCCACCGTATTCTTTCCAGGGCTTAAGGCTTCTAAGGAACCCCTTTGGAGTTCCTGCCTGGTGCTGGGGGCTAGCACTGAAAGCCCCCTTCAGATCCTGACAGCTGGGCTTCCATTCCCGGAAGCCCGCCCTTCTCCGTTCATTTGCATCTCATTAGCACCACCTAGAGCAGACCAGCTCCCTGCCCCCTCCTTGGGTGGGACGGGTGTAGTGATGCGCTCCCCACCCCCCACCCCGTCTCACTTCTCCCGCCTCTCTCCTCCCCACGTGCTGCAGCCCTTGGGAGGGGGCAGGCGGGTTCGGGTGTGCCCAGCCCGTCACACCTCCCACCCAGGCTTGGCCGGCTAGGCTCCCGCCGCGCGTTCCCATGGCAACGGGGTGACGGCCCGGGTCGCGGTGCTTGCGGAGGAGCTCGGCGGCCGCCCAGCTCCCCTCCCAGCCGCCCAGGCTGGATTGGTGATAGGCAGCGCCTCCATCTCCCGAGATGATCGGCGATAATTGGTTTATGGAAATAACTGAGGGGAGAAGGCGAGCTCCCAGCTAGAAACCAGCCTCCCTGCCAAGCCTGCTCTCTGCCACCTGTCCTATTGCCACCACAGAAATGAGTTGGGGGAGGGGAGGGCCAAAGAGCTGGGCTGGTGGAGATGAAGGTTTTGAGGCAAGCAAGTGTTTCACCTGTTGGTCTCCAGTACACTTTGGATTGCCCTTTCACTCTGTGCAAGTGTTTGTGAGGTTGTTGCTATAGTAACCAGATGTTTGCCTCAGACACTCTCTTGACCCTTAAGTCTGTGCTCAGGCCTATGCTGGATGCATTATTGGGGAAATGGAAGAGGGCACCCAGGTTCTGTCCTTTGTGAGCCCAATTTGGGAGTTAAGAGGAAGAGCCTCAGGTCTTGCCGTGGGGGAGCAACATCTGGCAGGTGCACATAAACTATGTTTATATAAAGTAGGTCAGACCAGTGTTCCTACTATGGGGTTCCAGAGGAAGGCGAGTGCAACTCTGATGGCTGCCTGGAAGAGGAGACCACATGAGCAAGACTTTGAAGGTGGGATTTCAGCAGGTGGAGGTGAGAGGGCTCGGGCAGGTAGTTCTGGAAAGGAAGCTATGGGTAAAAGCCTGCAGGCAGGAACTGAATGATGCTGAGATTGGTGTGGGAGGGGAGGTATAAGTAGTTTGGTGTGAGGCAGGGATGGTGAAATGTCTGCTGAAGGAGTTGAGGGACCACAGCTTGCTGGGGGTGAGATGGGGGAGGTATTGCATAGTGCTTATAATAAAGACTGAGCAAATGTCCAACATCCATATCAGGGGATGGCTGGAAGGAGACTGTGTTGTCTCGATGCCCTTCTGGATGATGTGAGGCCTATGAGGTGGGCAGCAGACAGGCCTCAGATACCAGGCTGTGAAAAGTGTGTACCTCAGACAGTAGCTGGGGTGGGGATTGTGTGTGTGGGGGGGGAGGTCATCAAAGGTCAGTGAAGCCCCCACCAATAGGAATGTGGTGGGAGATTAAGGAAGAGGATGGCTGAAAGGATCCTACCCTAGGGTTAAGCATGGTGGGATAGGGCATCCAGAGGTCAGGAGAGGCTTGCACCAGCCTTCTGCTTCCTATGCCCATCACCCCTCACTTAGCCCAGACTAGGCCTCTACCCCAATGAGGTCAGAGTTGTGGCCAAGCTGAGACCAGCTAGTTGTGGGATCAAGGAGCTGCTGTCTGGATCTCTTGGCACCTTCATTTCTCTGGCCCTGAAGGCCACATCCCAGGTACCAGGGAAGAGACCGGGAGATCAAGAAGCAGGCCTTCCATCTGTAGAGCCCACTGCCCCTGTGTGATTCCCTTCTGGGTATCCCAGTCCCAGTCCTGAACCTTTGTGTCCTCATATTCCAAATACCCAGACCTGGTCTCTGTCACAGCCTCACTCACCCCTTACTCTACCTCCATTATTACTGGTACTTACACAATCACATAGGGCCATGGCTCAGAGTCATCCTTGCAGGTGGGTAGATTGATAGCCCCATGGAGAGTGACCATGATGGTCTCCTTATTAGAGGGGGACAGGTGGTTGATGCCAGATTCTGCATTCTGAGAGGTGCCCAGGGGCTCCTGTGGGTCCTCAGATTCCTGTGGGGAGAGCCAGAAATGAGTGGTCTCTTCCAGTGTGACAACCTCCCTTAACTGCCACCCTATGGCCTCCAGTTCCTCTCACAGTTCCCCTCCAGTGGTTGTCTCCCCATATCATTCCCCCACCCAGTCTGGAATGACAGTGGCAATTGCCTCTGGCCTCCTCTTCCTACCTCAGTCTCTCATCCTACATTTCTATCCCTCCCTGGTCTCTCCCCCAACTCCGAGACCCATCACTTCTACACAATGAGGCAATGGCTTCTTCCTTCTAGATCTTTTTACCTCCAGATTGTCCCCCTCCAGGCCATCCTACTTGGTAGTAGCCATCTTACTCAAGTCTAAAATACCATCTCCTTTGTCATTCCCCAGCTCAAGAACTTGCTACCTCCCTTCCGCTGCTGTTCTCTACAACCCTGCTAGAATGAGAGCAGCCTGGAGGAGCAGGAGTGCCCCCATCCCTCACCTAGCCTCCTGCTCCTTAAGATCAGACCATCTCACCTGTCAAGCTCATTCTCACCTCCAAGTTTTTGCTTTTCCAGATACCTTTGCCTGAAATTCTGAAATCCCACCTGCTTTTGAGCGCCTAGCAACTAGCCATCTTCAATATATCCTGTCACCTAATTTCAGTCCATCTGTCACCTCAGATCCCTCCTATGCACAGGCACTTTACAATTTACTAAGCTTATCAGCAGCCATGGAGTCATTCAATTCATTAATGGAGGTTAATGAATGTATCAGTCCCAGATGCCACATCCATCATCCATGTAGAGATGGCCCTGTGGGCCAGCAAGGAGGGTGAGGTGCCTGCTCACACACAGGGACTCCTAAGCCAGGTGTCCCAAACAGACACGTGTGCAGGGGCTCAATACCTGTGGATGCACAGCCTAAAGTACCACAGTGATAAGAGTTGCTGAGAAGAGACAGAGGCCACAGCTAACTGGGACAGTCAGGGAACACTCCTGGGAAGAGGAGGAATGGTGTGATGGATCTCTCTCTCTTTTTTTTTTTTTTAATTGTGATTTGGGTGAAAGTTTACAGAGCAAATTCATTTTCCATACAATAGTTCATACACATTTTCTTCCATGACAATGATTGCAATCCCCATAATGTAACAGCTCTCTTCCGACTTTCTCCCTGTGGGTACCTTTTCCCTGTGTCCTTCTTTCCTATCCATCCCTGCCCTCTGAGCTGTCTCCCTATGCAAATACTGCCCTTCTGATCTCCCATTATTGATTGTTCTAAGGAGTGTATCTAGCTGGTATACCCTGTCTTTGGTTTGGCTGGAAGCTATAGGAGTTCAATTCCAGGCCTGAAGGATGACTATGGGCCATAGTATCAAGTGTTTCACTAGTGTCTATCAGACCAGTAAGCTTGGTCGTCTTTGTGATTTTGAGTTTTGTTCTACATTCTTCTTCTGCTCTATCCAGGATCTCCTGCACTGATCCTTTCCCAAGTGGTTGACAGTGGTAGCTGGTCACCCTGTAGTTCTGGTCTCATGATCATATAGGCCGAGGTTCACGTGATCCACTAGTCCTTTGTACTAATTCTATCCATGCATCTTTGGATTTCTCCATTCTTCTTTGCGCTGGACAAGGAGATACCCATTGTTGCATCTAATTGGCCACTTGCAAGTTTTTTTTTT